CCAATCAGTTTTGGATTATATAATCACTTCTTCAAATTCTGTTGCCAATCCTTAATTGAGCGAGCTTTACCGCGGTTTTGGTAGCTCTTCGGTAAAGCTTGTTGGTGGATCATCGCAAAACCGCGCTTTTATGGGCCGACCAGCCAGGTACACGGTTCACCAGCCTTGTATGAAATTTGGCTCGTCAGTGTATCAGGAACGACAAGACGCGAGTTAAATCTCCGTAATCTTCAACAAAAGCGTAGCTCGCCCGTCGGTTAGAGCCTTAAGGCCGTCCAGATACATACGGAATTCTGTTTCGGGATTCCGTTTCGATATTCCAATTCGGAATTCCGAACGCAGCAAGTCCATATATAGGTTATGGACTTGGTGTGTATGGTCGCACTTTTACTTCTTATATAAAGAACATTAAAAATTTACAGACAAGATTTCTAAAATTTCTTGTAAATGAAAAAGTTAAAGAAATTTTTTTTATAGGAGAGGGGGCAATCGAGCATGCGGCTCACCTGATGGTAAGTGACTACCGCCGCCCATGAAGAACTGCAACACCAGGGGAATTGCAGATGCGTTGCCGGCCTTTTAAAAAGGAGTAGGCTCTTTTCTTGAAGGTCCCTAAGTCGTATCGGTCCGGAAAAATCGCTGGTGGTTATGGATTCCACAAGGAACTTCCAAATGACCACGAAACTGCACGTCACTCGATGTGTCGACACCAAGGATCCCGACTGGCTGAGGCTGTTGCCTTGAAACTGAGGAGATACGACAAAGGGGTTCTTTTTAGCGGTAAACGCGCAAACTTGTGTCTTCTTGGGATTGAACTGGACTAGATTTAGTCGACCCCAGTCTGAGACTTTGTTCAACAAAATCTCGACTTCAGACACAAGTTTGTTCCGGTACTCGGCGACGTTTTCCCGAGAAATATTGGCACGGACGGTGTATAAAGCATGGGGCACAAGGGGAGTGCATTGAAACTGAGGACATACGACAAAGGGCTTCTTTTTAGCGGTAAACGCGCAAACTTGTGTCTTCTGGGGATTGAACTGGACTAGATTTAGCTTGCTTGCTGCTTTGTCACATTGTGTACACCTAAGTCGAATAATTAACATAAACGAGCCTATTTGTAACATCGTCTAGTCGTCTCTGCAATCTGTGTTGTTGTTAGATCTTTCATATAGCAACGAGGCTTCGTGTATTGTTATATTTCTGACAGTACAGTCTACAGTCTGAGACTTTGTTCAACAAAATCGCTACTTCAGACACAAGTTTGTTCCGGTACTCGGCGACGTTTTCTCGAGAAATATTGGCACGGTCGGTGTATAAAGCATCACCAGTGCTGTCATCCGCATAGCAATGAATGTTACTGGTTTGCAACATATCATTGATATGCAGAAGAAACAGCGTTGGTGATAGCACGCATCCTTGTGGAACACCAGCGTTAATGGACTTGTAATCGGAGCATTCACCGTCTACTACGACCTTGATGCTCCGATCTGCAAGAAAACTGGTGCTCCAATTGCACAATTTCTCGGGAAGCCCGTAGGAAGGGAGCTTCGAAGGAAGCGCTTTGTGCCAAACCCGATCGAAGGCCTTCGCTATGTCTAAACTAACGGCCAACGCCTCCCCCTTGGACTCCACTGCCTCCGCCCATTTATGAGTTAGGTAACCTAAAAGATCACCAGCTGAGCGACCTCGACGAAAACCGTACTGGCGGTCACTAATCAGCTGGTGATCCTCAAGGTACCGCATGAGCTGGCTGTTAATAATGGTTTCCATTACTTTGGAGAACAAGGAGGTGATAGCAATAGGCCTGTAGTTGGACGGATCTGAGCGGTCGCACTTTTTAGGGATCGGGTGCACCATGGGTGTTTTCCATGAGTTCGGGACTACGCCAATGGAGTAGGAGTACCGGAAAAGACGCGTTAAAACCGGTGCCAACTCCGGAGCACACGTCTTCAGCACAATAGGTGGGACTCCATCAGGCCCACTCGACTTGTTGACGTCCAGGGAGAGGATTGCTTTACGCACCGAGCGCTGTGTAAACAGCACTTCCTGCATGGAGCACTCACACCGCGTGATGGTCGGCGGTGTGTTCCCCCCGTCATCTAGAGTCGAGTTGGAAGCAAAAAGAGAGCCTAGCAGATCGGCTTTCTCTTTTGCGTCATGGGCCAGTGAGTCGTCTGCCCTGTGCAAAGATGGCAGAGATGGCTGACAGAAGTTCCCTTGGACAGCCTTGGCGAGAGACCAGAATGCACGTGTTCCCGAAGGGAGGCGAACTAGTTTCTCGCCAATTCTGCCGATGTGCTCTGACTTTGCCTTGGCAATGACACTTTTGAAGGACCTGGAGGCGGAATTATACTTCTTTTTAAGAGCGCTGGTATTTACATCCCGGGACGTTGATGCGTCGGCCCACATTCAATTTTGCAGGAGTGACCAAACCATGGCTGATTTCTGCCTCCGATAGGCACCACAGATGATGGAATAAATAATTCCATTCCCTGAAATACCATATCAGCGACAGAATCAGCAACAACGTTGGGTTCATGCGGCGCGAAGCAAACCCGCCCCCAAGGGTAGGATGCAAAAAAATACCGCATCCCGTCCCAATCGGCCGACCTATAGTGCCAAACACTGCGGCAAGCTGCAGATCGAAATTGCGATTGGAGCGTGAGTGGCATCGTACTCCGGATCAGACAATGGTCCGAAGAGCTCAGAGGGGCATCGACGGAGACATGATATCCGTCCGGATGAGAGGTCAGCAGAAGGTCCAACAGGGAAGGTACATGATCCTCCACATCTGGGATTCGCATAGGCGAAGTAACCAGTTGTGTCAGACCATATGCCAAGGCAAAGTCATAAACAGATCTCCCCGCATGATCAGTTAAGCGTGAACCGAGCCATTCACCGTGGTGGGCGTTAAAATCGCCAAGAATCACGATCTCTGCGGATGGGACCTGTTGTAGCACGGAGCCTGCAGCCATTTGGACGTGGTCGATGAGTCGGTCTGTGTTGGCATTACCGCTATGGGACCTATAGAGGCACCCGTAGACGCGAGGATGGTCGTCACTGTCTACGCGTAGCCATAGGATGGACAGGTCCTTACATTCAAGACTGCTGAGGCGTCGAAAACAGATGTCCTGCATTTATTCGCCAACAAACTGTCTTTACAGTTTGGCGAAGTTATAAAATTATGTAATGTTTTTGTAAATTTTGGTAAATAAATTTAAAAAAATATATGAAGTCTATGGACCGCCACACACATACGGTAATTTTCCGTACGGAATTTTCTCCGATTCGAGATTCCGCATGACCGTCTGTGCGTTCGTAATCCTGAACGGAAAAAAACCGCTCCGAATGCAAGTCTTCCTTCATAGATTTTGTATGAATTGCAACACACATTCGTAAATTTCGTACGGAACGTGCTCAGTGTTCGTCGCATGACCGAAGCGAGTAGGTGTGTTTATGTATGTTTTTACATTTAATCATATATGTGTACAGCTTTTCGTAACCTTTCATCTTATTTCATTTAATAATTCGTCGAAAGAGTTTGCAGACATCCATATTTAAAAATATATCTCTGGATAGATAGATCTTTTTACATAATATTGACTATATTGCAAGCTTAGGGTGATAAGGCGATGCAACTAGTAAGAATGATACAACAACAATGGAATCGCAATCAGAAAATCGTCGTCATTATTCGCTGGCAGAATGTCTAGATTCAATAACTAACGTCTCTCAACTGAGCCTTGTTATTCCGAACGGAAATAAACGTATGTGTGTGATGCATTCACGGAATCCCGAATCGGAATACCGTATGTATGTGGCCGGCCTTAAAAGAGTGGAGAGGGAAATGCCTTGAAAGTTTTGTAACCGACAATAGATGGCATTATAACCAACTCATAGATATAATATGTTATTCCACTAAAGTATCTTTAAAAATAATACATAAGAAAGTGTGTTAATAATAACATTTTTATTTACATTTATTATAATTACATTCCATAAAGGCATAACAATATCTATTATGTTGCGTCTAAAAATTCAAGATGATATATTTACAATTTAATGTTATTAACCATTTTTAATATTATTTTAACCTAATCACACTATTTGTAACGATCTAAATAAAGAGGATATTTCATATAAAGCATCTATACTTTTATTTGGACTCATAGTATTTTGATGTATTTTATAACGTCAAATTTGATTTTATTACGCGTTGTAATCCGTTGTAATTTTCTTTAGTTTTCCTCTATTTAGATCACGCTGGCGTGCAAGCGTAGGTACAAGTTAAAAAGAACATTATTTTCGAAGCAACGAATGATAGCATTCGTTTTGTAATATTTTTAATAAACTTATAACAATAATAATAATAGTTTTAATCCTTTTAACGTGAAGGTAGTGCTACGCTGTATTTATATAATACCTCAAGTGGGTCGGCTCGACCGGGGAAAGACCAAGCTCTAGCTGAATACAAGCATATAATAGCAGCTTATGCTGAACACAGCAGTGCTTCATATGGTGAGGGTAGATAAACGGAAACCCTTTTACAGGTAACAAGGCATTCTAAGTCCTCAGGAGTGACAACGCATCTACATTTCAATTCTTAATCGAGGATAGATGTAGGTGTCTATGGGTCTATATCTAGGTGTAGATGGCCCACAGCATCCACTTATCATCCGGTGAACTGTAGTCTCATTTATCACGCTTATTCTATTTAAAAGATGGAATAAGAACATTGAAATTTTACAGATAGAAGTAACTATTTTCTTTTATTATAGTTCTATATCCACTTTTAATATTACGACATTCCTTTCAAAGATAAGGCATAGTTATGCACATGTGTCTTTATCAAAGGAAAATCATGAACCATACATGTAGTTTTAAAACATCTTTGTAATGATTTTGTTTTCATTATATCGTAATCGATATATCTCGCAGATTATAGTTAAAATAAAATTTAATATTTTTTCTTAACCTACTCCTTACTATAAAAATAGTTTTTACAAAAATATTTCATCGACAAGTTTCTTGTCTATCAGCCTATGAGGTTTTGGGCGAGAGGGCTTCCTTCTTCGCCGATATAATCTAGCGTTCAGCGGATACAGGGCTGGTGAGAGCGCGCATCGGACGTTAAACCACCAGTCACAAGACGCCACCCCTTGCGAGAACACCGTACCGTTGGGGCAGAGGAAGGACGCCTGGCGCCCGTCGATATCACAGTAGTGCCACGCTGAAAATGAGGAAAATAATTTTTAAATGTATATCTAAGTTCTAACATGTATTCTTAAAATAGTATAAGGACAAACAATATATATATATAACAATTACGTGTCACGTTGTTTGTCCGCGATGGACTCCTAAACTACTGAACTGATTTCAAGCTGAGCTTTTATCCCGATAAGTGACCCTCAATTTTTTTATTGTGAATTTAATGATTTTTTTAGGACACATGGTCTTTGGAAAGGACATGACAACGTCTGCCTGGTCAGCTAGTATATATATATATATATATATATATATATATATATGTGTGTGTGTGTGTGTGTATGTGTGTGTGTTTGTGTGTGTGTGTGTGAATTATTATTAGCATAAACTTATGGAATGTTGGCTATAAAAGTGAATGGATATAAGAGTAGATAGAGGCTTAAGAAAAGATGGATGGACTGTATTAGAGATGATATGCGTAGGAAAGGAGTGAGATAGATGAGCGCTAATCGAAGAAGACGAAAACATGCTATGCCGACCTAATAACTTGATATAACTTGAATAACTTGGGATAAGCTCAGGAAGAAGAAGAAGAGTTTGATATATATTAATTGAAATATAAAACAATTATAAATATAAACGTGAATCTCAAACATATACATCTATATGCATAATAATATGCCATATAGAAGTAGCGTAAGAGAACCCTTCACTCCATACCATCCCGTGGATATAATAAGAGACAACAGATGGAAACTAAAACATGGGCAACAGCATCTTACTAATAATACTCGTAGCTTAAACAATAAAAAAACTGCGGTTGCTAACCCGCCTCTCAAGCGAATGAACCATGGCGATACCCTACGAGACAATATACGGGGGAATTCTATGTTCAACAGTGGACTTTTGACACCAATTTTTTCCCACAAGATTATCCTCAAAATATTTTTTTAACCCCGCGTCATAATAAATCAGATAATATACGATATTGTACATACAATTCGTTATTGCTATTATGTTGTTAAATAAATCAGTATAAGAGACTGTAAAAGGTTTTAAAGCAATTGACACTTTTTATAGCAATTAACATTTACTAATTGTTACAGATAGCGTAAATAAAGTATTTTATTACAACAGCTCACCAATATAAAACTAATTAGAAAATGTTGTTTAAAGCCTGTTTGTTACTAACTGTTAAATATATCCGCTAATAAAATACTTTTAAATTAAGTTGTATAATATTTATCATTTTTTTAAATGTAACACGTAATATTTTTTATTTTTTAAATTTGTAGTGTAATATAATGCTATTATACTTAATATTTTGTTACAAATTTTCAGTTGCAGAAAGAATGATTAATGTTGTGAATTTGTCCCAGCAAATGTCAAACCTGTCAAACCCAAATGGCCAATTAACCTCCAATCAACACTACCCTAGGTTTCTCGAATTCAGTTTACCTTTTTTACATTGGTTAACCTGGTTAACCTGGTGTGAATGTTGGCATATTAACGCGAATGCTGTGCTCTGTTCAACATTGTGATTACAAACGTACATTTGCAGTTGCATTATCTACCGTGAATTACGTAGTAACATTATTTAATCTGTGCTGTGACCCTGACCGACTTTAATCTAACTTAGCTTTTAGCTGGAGCAATTTTCAGCGTTTACCTTGGCCATTACTACACTTATCTAACTAATTGTTTAATTAATTTATAATAACCAAAATAAATCAACAATATTAGTAAACTATGACGTCACGACAACATCATGCAGTATACTGTGATGCCAACATGTAGCAATTGTTGACAGAGATACCGCCACACTATACCTAGCTAGCGATGTGGAGTAACTTAATATATTAGGCAATACATTCATACACTAGCATTCAGTTGAACAACTATCGCTGGTCAAGGACAAGGTTTTTCTTTTATTATCATGACTTTACAACGAATGTATTTGTAGCCCGAATTGGTCGGCTGTACCGGAGAAGGACCACGCTCTCACAGAATACCAGCGTAAAATAGCAGCTTAACGCTGCTGTGCTTCGTATGGTGAGTGTGGAGACCCTTTTTACTGGAAAAGAGGCATTCCATCTTAGTCCTCACGGGTGACAACGCATCTGCATTTTGATACTTTATCGAGGATAGATATAGATGTCTATGGGTCACAGCGACCACTTACCATCAGGTGGACTGTGTGCTCGTTTGTCACCCTACCCTATAAAAAAAAATAAAGAGAAGGAATAAATAAAGGACTTTGGATGTGAATGTATATAACAAGACGAACGCCATCTTCGTTTAGTAATGTGGACGATATATTATTCAAAAACTTCATCAAAACGTCTCAAATTGATTTTTAATTACATTTAATCTCTGGTCTCGTCGCGGCATTGGTCGACTAAAACCCGCACCCCGCTGAATTTATTTTAATTTATATTTTGGTGAACGTTCCTATTGTATATAAATGAATATTATTTGTCTCTATCAATTTACAGCATTCGTGTTTCAAAAACAGGCAAAACTCGTCGAGACTTTCAATTACTGAGCAGAGTGAATGTTCTACTTATATAATTTGGTTTATTCGGTACTCTTAGGTCGCGATTCCTACTTGCTCTTGTTCGGTTCCTATTTTTATTGTCTGTAGCATTTCTCTAACCCGCCTCTTGCTAAATCCAAGGAACTGAATGACATGATGGATGTCCTTATGCCACCATTACACGACAAACAATAAAATGCTTAAAATATGTTCTTACAAAAATCTTAAAAAAGCTTTAAAGATTTTGTTTTTTAGTTTTCAATAATATACATTTTATAATCGTTTTAGATGAAACAGATTTAAACAACCAGGATCTCACGACCGATCGACATTTGAAATGTTAATCACTTTCCGGGTCAGTTTTTTGTTAAATTAGTATTTGACCTTAGACCATGTTAAGTTAAAATAGTAGCATCATCTCACAGCGCCTAAGGCCAACATTAATATTATGGCAACTATAATTTTAACAATAGACGCCCACGGATAACACGACTACATTATAAATTGTCTTAGAAATATTATGATGCTTCTATGTTTTATATATTTATACGCGTTTGTACATATATACTGCAAATAAGCTCCGAACTTTTTATATTTATTCAACTTAAAACGTTAACATCGGGTTTATAATGTTTATTGAATCTTCAAGGTTTTTCACAAGCAACAACATTATTACCATACGTATAATTTTACACATAACCTGTAAATTGACCAGAAGTCTTCTATAATGCCTAATACAGGGCCATATCAAAAAGTGCATGTATACATTAATTAGTTACAAAGGTTTTAAAATAACATTACGTTAATTTTTTATAAGTTATTTATATTTATTCGACACGTTTTTATTGCAGTTAGTTAATGTAAAACAATTTTTTAGTATTTAACAATAAAAAATAACTATTACATTGATAGGATTGTAAGGAAAAATATACGAAAATTCTTCAAATAATGCTAACCTTAGTTGCACGCACTTTTATAAGTCATAGAGTCTGTGTTGACGAAAAGGCGAGATTCTGGCGAACGATTACGGCGTAAAAACATCTAAGAATGCTGAATTCATATTGATGAACGCAGCAAGCAGCTGTATCGCCAGTGCGCGTGTTTCGGCTCTGGACTCACAAACTTGCTTACCCAGAGCGTGGATTAGTAGTAGAAGCACATCTTTTAAGTAATACATGTCGTTGTGTCAGACCTATTTTATTGGTAGATTTAAAAGGCTGATGACGATGATTACAATAGGAAAACTAAGACATAAACATGTGGCGGCGCTGTCGTCCCGCCACAAGCGAAATACATCGAAGCCTAAATCGCGCTATCAAAGTTCCGAAGTAAAAACAGTATATATAGAATAGCTCCGAACTACCACTCGTAGCGCTGGTCGCTTCGATGGTTGAACAACTTGCCCAGCGGAAGATCTCCCCTCTTACTTCCACGGCCACAAACAGACAAAAGATTCTCTTTTTTATTGAATGTTTATTATAATTTTGCAACTTACTAAATACCACAATAACTACCAGTGCAATATAAAACTAATATGTGCATAATATAATGTCAAAGAGGTTCTGCGAATTTTTTACCAAGTGACCTGACTTTTGCAATCAAATCTACATACCTAATCTTTTCTTTCATAATTAGGAAACATATATTATATTAATTGCGACGCAGATTGTCACTTTATTTTGCTTAAGGAAACGCAACATTAATAACAAACAAGCCCAATGGTTGAAAACAGTAATTTAAAAAACCCGACTGCGTAATGTTTACTGAAAACGGATTTTTAACACAGATATAATATATTTTATTAAAAATAAATCTGGCATTGTTAGCATTTACCTTAGAAGAAAGCTTAAAAGCTTATGCCTGGATTGAGATTGATCCTAGTAGAACGGCGGATGTGAACTCGTTTGACTAAATTCGAAGTTTATTACGTAATTTTCATTAGAATCCGTCAAGCAAAAATGTTTGGTGTGAAACGAAGAGTCGATTAAGATTGAAATGAACCGAAACCTTATTTAATAAATGCTACAAAAAATAACGATCCACCATTAATTTTAAATTAAAAATCCATCGTGGGGATGTTTCTCATATTAATTGCACATGAAAGCACTTCAGCAGGTCAGAACAATTAAATTCATAAACATAAGCTTAACAAAACATAAAAATTAACCATACATTAACTTAAAATATTTTACATTCAGCAACGAACTTTGTCATACTGTACATATAACACCTCATAATAAGAAAACTTCGTTTTAATTATCAGAAAACCTGGGCGTAATAATTGACTAACATTCAATAAACAAACTAAGTTCAAAACATGAAAAGTGTCGCTTAATAATTTACTTTTTATATATTTTTTTCTTTAATTATTTCTTCTTTGCTTGTGAAGGACTATGGAAATAATTTATGTATTTTTGGATGTTGTTATAGAAACGGTGACATTTGTCACAACATGAAGTGTTAGGTATGTAAGTTTCAAGAAATTTAAAGAAAACACCCCATTTTAGTCTTCCTAGTACATTCTTGTATAGTTCTACAAATACAGCCAAGTCTAGTCCTGATCTATTTTTACTTCAGCGTCACCTACCATATAAACTTTGACCTAATTACCTTGGCATCGCGTTTCCATGTCAGCAAAAAATCCTGGATAAGGTTGCTCGTCGCAGTAAAAGTTGGTGTAAGGTACTGCACCAAGTATTGGATAATCTGTCCCTGGTTTCCCTGGAATAAATCACAAATATTTATTATTATACACACATTCAGATATTTTACAGTTGTACATATTTTAGGTTTTTACCTTTAATAAGATAAGATCAATAATGATGCAATTTTTATACTAGTATCCTACACCAACTTCAATATAAATAATTAAAAATAACTCAAAAAGTAATGGTCTGACCTTGATCGAATTTATATGGGACTACTTGTGAAGCAGCAGCTTTTAAATAAAAAAAGAATCATCAAAATCGGTTCATCCAGAAAAATGTTAAGGGGTAACAAACATAAAAAAAAACAGTCGAATAGAGTACCTCCTCCTGTTTGAATTCTGTAGAAAATATAAATAAAAATTACATTAAGTTTTATTTTGAATGATCGACCACAATGTAAGAAGAACAAGAATATGGGAGAAATTCATAGCTGGCATTTAATTAACGCGCTGATTATAATGACTTTATAAATAGCTGCTATCTATTTTTTGTATTTGTATTTTGTCATACATTACTCCTACACAAACATTTCAAGCAATTTGAAGTGATGAGAATTCGTATTACAATAAGTATTACATGATGATGTGCCTTTAAGAGAAAATATTCTTTATGAATGTTTTACTTATTGTAACCTATTGTCATCGTAAATAACATTATAATCAAAATAACTGACAAAGTGCGAGTCAGACTCGTGCATGAAGGGTTCCTTACCATCATAATACACGTTTCTAGTAGCCCCTTTTAATTTTTTTAATTTTTTTGTGAAAATTTCAACTGTCTATCTATTACGGATCATGAGATACAGCACACTTACAGATAGACGGAAGGACGGACGGACGGACAGCGGAGGCTTAGTAATAGGGTGCCGTTAGATACCATTTGAGCACGGAACCCTAAAAAACTCGCATTCTAAATTCATTTTTAATTACTTTATCTTAACTTTATCACGTGCGCAACGATGTAGGGAAACATCGAGAGGAAACTTGAATGTCAGAGAAATTATAAATGTTTCGAAAACATTTCAGCGCAAATAACCAGATAATAATCGCCAAATATTTTCCATGGATCTAAATCGAAGCAAAAAAATTTACTCGTATGTACCTGTATACACTGCACTTGTCATATAAAATTCTTAATGAGTTTATACTAAATAATTGATTTTCCTTCTCTATTTGCCATAATTTTTACGTGGTAGAGCTATGCTGCAGCTATATTATGGTTGTAGAACGAATGGGTCGGCTCGACTGAGGAAGGACCGCGCTCTCACAGAATACCAGCGTAAAATAGCAGCTTAACGCTGCTGTGTTTTGTATGGTGAAAGAACCGGAGACCCTTTTTACTAGACAAGAGGCATTCCATCTTAGTCCTTACGGGTGACAACGCATCTGCATTTTGATTCTTAATCGAAGATAGATGTAGATGTCTATAAGCCACAGCAACCACTTACCACCAGGTGGACTGTGTGCTCATTTGTCACCCTTATCCTATAAAAAAACTCTATAGACGTATAATTGGCCGATGTAAAAAAATAAAAAGTTGACAATTCCACTGAGTGTGTTTTTTTTGTATGTATATTACCGGATTCGAAGAACTAAAAAGATACGTGGTAGAGCCATGCTGCAGCTAAATTAATTGTATAGTTGTAGCACGAGTAGATCGGCTCGACCTCTACACATATATATATAGAGGTCGAGTGTCTTATTGAATTGAGTGTCTTATTTAATTATATCATATATATATATATGATATAATTAAATAAGACACCAAAACTCTTACGCGGTAGAACCATGCTGCAGCTATATTAGTAGTATAGTTGTAGCACGAAGGGGTCGGCTCGACCGAGGAAGGACCACGCTCTTACAGATAACTGGCGTAAAATAGCAGCTTAACGCTGCTGTGTTTCGTATGGTAAGTGTAGAGAACCAGAGACCCTTTTTACTGGAAACGAGGCATTCCATCTTAGTCCTCACGACTGACAACGCATCTGCATTTTGATTCGCAAACAGGGATAGGTGTAGATGTCTATGGGCACCAGCAACCATTTACCATCAGGTGGCCTATGTGCTCGCTTGTCACCCTTATCCTATAAAAAAATTGAAAATAGGCTAGATTAGGAGTACCCTTAACCGACGAGCGTGTATGTGTAGATATATGGATGTAAAGGAGGCGAGAGAGGTGTGTCAGGATCGCGCCAAATGGAAGTAGTCTCTGCCTACTCTTCTGGGTGACAGGCGTAAGTGTTTATGTATTTAAAAAAATAAAATAATTACACACTATACTTCGATTCTTCTATACACTATATCTTTGCACCTACTTCAGTTTTAGTTCCTTGAAGTCGGCTTTTACATATCAATATATCATTTTAATATCAATACATATCAATTTTATAAATAACGATATGTTGGTATAACGCTTTAACCCATAGTGATAGTGTTCGCGATTGTCCGTGGCTCAAAGGCCACTCTATCCGTATCTGAACCTACAGTAATAATGATTACTCCAAACTCTATTAAAATAATTAATAATATGGCTTTAATATTTCTGATCACTATGGAAGTTGTGATGAATAAAATTAGAGTACTCAAATAAAAATAATTATCAGACACAACTAAGGCAAATTTTATGCATTCGGCATTTTATGACTTTCATTATAAGGACTCAAAAGAAAGGGCCAACTGGGCACGGGCCGAGCTCCTGATACGCTGCCCCAGGTATGAACAAAATCGTTATACCATCACCTATAAAGGCCATGAGATCTTTCTGGTATTTCCATAGTCAACTATTAGGACAATCGTGGAACAAGATGTGGGATAAGTTCTCTTACAAAGAGTATATAAGTAACCCGTGTTTTTATTATTAACTATGTTTTTATATTACTAAAAACTTGGCTATAGTTTGGTCTGTTTTTCATATTCGACTGCCTCGTTAATCTAGTGGTCGTAAACATGTTTTCATCGCCGTTAGGATAAAGTATGTGATTATGTATTTATTGTATCTGTCAGATTTATATTATTGTTTGAGGAATTTTGTAATTTACATATGTATTTTTGGGCAGACATGTAAGTTTGTTTATATATATATATATATATATATATATATATATATATATATATATAATATTTTATTATGTATGAGTAATTTATATTATTTCACGTATTATTTATTTATATGTTATTTTGTTGCGTTTATTATCTATATATCGCATGTATTGATATTTATATGTTGTATATTTATGTTGCACCACCTACCACCTACCTATTCATTATTTTATTCCTTTACACCTTTGGTTGCCTGGAAGAGATCGCTATGTAGCGATAAGGCTGCCAAATAGTACATGCTTATTGTTATGTCATTTGTATATTTGTTCGTGGTGTACAATAAAAGTATATGCATTCATTAATGTTTCTTGATTATGAGGGTTCGAATCTCGGGAATCTCTTTTATGTCAAGAAATTCTCAATAGCAGCCCGGAGTCAGGAATTTGTTGGCAGTGTTTTACCCCCATGCCTCGGAAAGCGAATAATGCCGTTGGTCCTGTACCTGATCTCTCTCCAGTCTTGTCGGTTAACCGTCCCATCGGAGTATGAGAGTGAGTCACTATAATCTTGACCTACGCAGATGGCTACACTCCGTTGAGACTGGCAGACGTGAAAAAATTCGGTCTGAACGATATTTCAAATTTCATTTAAATTTACTAAAACTAGTTTTTTAAAGGTAATAATTCACAAATAATAAAAATATACAAATTTTTTTTTATACCGTGGAGTGGTAACCTCCTAACGTTGATGTCTTTTGTATGCAAAATTCAACACAATAATAACACAAAATTCTTGATAAATTATTGTTACCACAATTTATGATTCTTTTAAGAAACAAATATATTTATATTTTTATGTGAGAATATTACCTATATTCTTATACGATAAACTATCATCATTAATGTGAAAACATCTATTTAATAGCATATTTTTTTATTTTCTAGAACAAATTGATTTCTTGAGCGGTATGACGCTTAGACTTTTTGTAAACTTAGTCCCAAACCTCTGGCTTGATATTTTTATTTGTATAAGGAATAATTTATTAACAATACTAATTTGATATCTTTAAAATTGACCAAAAAATTCTTATGCAGGTGGATTATTCAACAACAAAGTCACAATAAACAACAAAGTGACGGTACTAAAACAATATATTTCGAAAATGGTGTATTTTCATAATTAAATATTATTTTTTTGATTTGATTATTATTTAAGTATATATGACGAGTATAGTGTTTAAGTAAATCAAATTGGACATAATAAGAAATAAAAAACTTTCATGCTAAACCCGCCAGCCTTTAATAAATCACTCTCTGTCTGTCTGTCTATTATAGCAGGCAGAGTGATTTATTATTTTGTGAAATGTTCAGCAACGGACTGTTACGAGCATCAGCCCCTTTGCCTCTCCCACTATAGGAAGTTATTGTCGTAATCGCAACGTTTGGCACACAGATTAGTAGTCCGTGCTATGCAACTAACCTAGATAATACGCTAGTTGTATTGCAACTTGGGTGCTGTTCTTCATGCCTGGGTACATCTGGTATACAGGAGATGGTAGGTGGCGACGGTATCCTCTACCTAAGACCATCAAATCTTTGTGGCTTTTCCCATTGACGCCTTTAAAGACATCCACGGTAAGAAGTGAGGTCAGTGAGTCAATTATACCAAGCAAAAAGAGCAACAGAGTTCCATTATTATTGATGCCACAAAGACAGAGACATGTTACAAAAAATGAAAAATTAGATGAGTGACGGAATTAGTAACGCCACGTTAAGCCTGTTTTGTTTCCGGTAAGCGTCACGATATTAACACATTTAATGTACAAATGCAAATTTAATATTTTAAAGAAACTATTTTTATCTTAAATTGGAACATTGAAACGCAAGATTTGTAATGAATTAATTTTCTACGTTAGGATATCCAAATTCAAGGCTGCCTTATCTTTAAATAATTGAAGACTTGAATCTCTACGTAC